TAGTTACTCAGTTGGAATTGCCGACAGGATTCAGGCTTACATGTTAAAAATGTATTTTGAAAGGATGGCAGAATCTACTAATAGATGCAACACTTTTCTCTCCAGCCTTTATGATGCTGTGTATTCACTGATCAAAAACAAAATCCACAGATTGCCTGTTATTGATCCTGTGAGTGGAAATGCACTTTATATCCTTACCCATAAAAGAATACTCAAGTTTCTCCAGCTTTTTGTAAGTAAATTGATCTGCCTTAACTTACATTCCAGATTAATTGCCTTGCTACTGCTATAATAAGCGCACAGGAAAACTAAAACTTTGCATGTTTTGCCTGTCTACAAGTAGTTGGTCGTTGTCACTTAACAGTACTCTGCAATATTATTGTGATTATATAAGATACCTTCCTTAAAGTGCAGCTTCCCCATGATACTGTGGGGGACAAGGTGTGTATAAGTAGTAATAGTTTACAAATGGCATTAGATATGCTAGCTCAGTTTGAATATTTTGTAGACTTTTAATGTGTTGTTGAAGGCTTTCGTGTACGGAATCACTGCGAGTTTTCCAGACTGTCTTTCCATGTTCCAGAAGTATCCTTTCCTGACGTTTCGCCCACATCTATGGCAATCATCCTCAGAGGTTGTGAGGTCTGTTGGAAACTAAGCAAATGGGGTTTATATATCTGTGGAAAGTCCTGGGTGGAAGAAAGAACTTTTGTCTGCTTGAAGCAGGTGTGAATGTTGCAAATGCATTTAATGGCCTTGCAGCTTCAATGCCCGGTTGCTTCCTGCCCACATCTATTATTATTATTATTATTATTATTATTATTATTATTATTATTATTATTAAACTTTATTTGTACCCCGCTAGCATCTCCCGAAGGACTCGATGCAGCTTACAAAGGCCAAGGCCTCAACACAACAGCAGTAAACAACAACAATACAAAGAAAGCAAATTAAAAAACATAAGCAATAACAAAACATTACACTATTACACAATAAAAACCATGGCCGGGCCAATGATGGGTACAGGTTAAAAAATGCTGGGTGTGACAGGAGGTGTATTGGAATTCTGGGCAAGTGCCATGTGCAGAGAGTCTTAAACTCTAGTAAAGTGCTTCTGGGACAAAGTGCTGGGTTATCCTATTCTGGAAAGGCACATCGGAATAGCCAGGTCTTCAAGTTCTTCCTAAAGACTGCCAACGTGGGTGCTAGTCTAATGTCTTTGGGGAGGTCGTTCCAAAGTCGGGGGGCAACCACAGAAAAGGCCCTATCCCTCGTCCCCACCAAGCGCGCCTGCGACGCAGGTGGGATCGCAAGCAGGGCCTCTGGGGATGGTTGCCTCTCTATGGCAGCCATCCCCAGAGGTTGAGGGTTCTGTTGGAAACTAGGCAAGTTGGGTTTATATATCTGTGGAATAATGTCCAGGGTGGGTGAAATAACTCTTGTATGTTGGAGACAAGTGTGAATGTTGCAGTTGGCCAGCATGATTAGCATTGAATGGCTTTGCAGCTTCAAAGCCTGGCTGCTGCCTGCCTGGGGGAATTTAAACCCCACTTGCCTAGTTTCCAACAGACCTCACAACCTCTGAGGATGCCTGCCATAGATGTGGGGTTTTTTTTCTGTGTAGGAACGACTTGAGAAACTGCAAGTTGCTTCTGGTGTGAGAAAATTGGCCAACTGCAATGATGCCTGGATGTTTTGATGTGGGTGAAATGTCAGGAGAGAACGCTTCTGGAACTTGGTCATACAGCCCAGAAAACTCAGAACAACCCAGACTCTTAATGTATAGTATCTATTTAAAGACTTAGTAATTTTTGTGATGCCATTGAAAAGTGTGTTGGCCATATAGCTTTGCAAATGTAACATGTGCTGATCAAGAACGTTTCTATTATTATTATTATTATTATTATTATTATTATTATTATTTTATAGACACGAAAACAGAGTTTGTCACAGCAAATGAGATCTATATGCTGGATGATGATGATGATGATGATTATTATTATTATTATGCAATTTGTAGGTGTCAGAAATGCCAAAGCCTGCCTTTATGAAGAAAAATCTGGATGAACTTGGGATAGGAACCTACGACAATATCGCCTTTATACACCCGGACACTCCTATCATTAAAGCTTTGAATATATTTGTAGATAGAAGGATATCAGCACTACCTGTTGTGGATGAATCAGGTGTGTATTAAGAATTTATTTACTTACTTATTCAATTTGTTTGGGACCCAAGGAAGTCCCTAAAGAGAAACAATTAAAGAAGGCATTGAACAACAATTTCAAACAAATGCAATAATAGAAATTACATTATGCAGAAGCTGAGTATTTGTTTTGCTGTTGATGTTCTGTAATACAGACTAAACATTATTAGTCTTATTAAATATGAAAAAGATAGCAGAAGGCACTTCGTTTCAAAGATGCCCATCATTTATTCAGAAAGTCTTTGCCTAATTATCAGTCTGCCTCAGTTATTGACATTTCCAGGATCCTGCAATATTGCAAATGGCTTCTTAGCTTTCGGTCATTTGTTGTGCAAGATGAATGTGTGCATGTGCTATTAGTTTTAAATGATAATTGAAAGTACAAAGGCCCTTTTCCCACAGGGATAACCACATTAGACCTTGTGGTACCTAGGTTTGATTTTATGATTCCAGTCTTGGGCTTCAGTTTGGTGGAATTACTCCTGCTTTGCACAAGGTTCCCTTATCTGAGCTTTTACTACGTCGCTTCTGGAGACGAGCATCTCACAGGCAAGCATCTGGAGCTCTGAGGATTACCTGGGAAGGAATCCCACTGGAGCATTGCAGCATACCAAAACACCTTGGAGTTACCCTGGACCGTGCTCTGATCTACAAGAAGCACTGCCTGAATATCAAGCAAAAAGTGGGTGCTAGAAAGTGCTCCACTGACTGCCAATTAGCTTCTGAGCACAATTCAGAGTGCTGGTGTTAACCTATAAATCCCTAAATGGCTCCAGCCCAGTTTACCTGTCTGAACGGATTCTCCCCTACGAACCATCAACGTTGTTAAGATCTTCTGGATGGGCCCTGCTCTCGTTCCCACCACCTTCGCAATCGCGTCTGGTTGGGATGAGAGACAGGGCCTTCTCGGTGGTGGCCCCTCAGCTGTGGAACTCTCCCCTGATGGAGATTAGATCTGCCCCTGGCTCTGGAACATAGCATTCTCAGAATGATTGGCGAGTCAATAATAACCTAATAACTACTGACTACACTGGTGGATTGTGATGAATGTGATTTTATCTTGACGATTTGGCTCTATGTATTTATTCTGTTTGTATTTTAATGTATTATGATGTTATGATGTTATTAGTTTATTTGTGTATGGATTTTCTGTTGTTAGCCAGCCTGAGTCCCTCTGCGGAGGTTGAGAAGACCGGGATATAAAAGTTCTAAATAAATAAATAAATAAATAAATAATATCATACGACAGCTGATTGGCACAACCTGGGGATCACAACCAGATACAGTGAAGACATCTGCCCTAGCACTTTGCTACTCTACTGCTGAGTATGCATGCCCAAACATTGGATGTGGTTCTTAATGAGACATGTTGCATTATCACAGGCTATCTGTGCCCTACACCACTGAAGAAATTACACTGTCTAGCTGGTATTGTACCACCTGACATCTGTCGGGAAGTAGCAACCAATAATGAAAGGCCCAAAGCAGTGATATCTCCAGCCCATCCCCTTTTCTGATATCAGCCAGCACGCCAATGCCTTAGATCAAGAAATAGTTTTCTAAGATCTACAGAGATACTCATAGGAACACCTCAGCAAGCGAGAGTCCAAAAGTGGCAGGGTCAAACCCATGGCTGATACCAAATGAGAGACTCCCTCCTGGGCACACAGAAGACTGGCAGACTTGGAAGGCACTGAACAGACTGTTCTGACACCACAAGATGCAGAACCAACCTTAAGAAATGGAGCTACAAAGTGGAGTCCACGACATACGAGTGTGGAGAAGAACAAACCACAGACCACCTGCTGCAATGCAGCTTGAGCCCTGCCACATGCACAATGGGGGACTCATTATAGCAACACCAGAGGCTCTCTAAGTTGCCAGCTTCTGGTCAAAGGACATTTAGTATAATGCCAAGTCTTCAAACTTTGTGTTTTCTCAAATACATCACAACTGTACCCTTGGTTTTCTCCTGATATGATAAATAAATACTCTGTCTCTGCAGTCCTTTCATTTTCCTTCCACTTTCCTCCCATCTTCTGTGCACAAAATTATGTAAAATGACGTGGAAGTGAAGTTCTAGTTTATTCTGAGTAAAGGCCTTGAATTGGAAAAAGATCTGTATGTTATATGACAGAATAGTATGCAGAAGCACACTTGTCCCTCTGCAATCCAAAAACTCTCTTTTTAAAATTAATGGATTGGAAACACACGGCAGGAAGCGATGGCCCCCGAACTTTCCTAAAATGGATCTAGGACTTCACTGTTTTGGAAAAGGACAAATTTCAAGGGGGAAAGAATGTCAAATTGCAACGGAAAGTAGAAAATCGTAAAATTTGAAAATTAGTAGAAGAAGGGGACCGTAAAACGACGAGGGTATGTTGTGTAACTTGAAAATCGGAACTCTCTCATAGAAATACTTTTCCATTTAACGTTGTTAGAAGATATGTCACAAGATGCACAGAAAATGGGAGGGAGGAAATAGCGTTCTAATTATGATTCCTACCAGATTTAACAGGAGGGAGAAAGAAACAAAAAGTACTGTTTCTGGATTCAGAATA